CAGGCCTGTCACTTAATTAAAAAAAAATAATATGACAATGTACACAGTCTGTTGTGGAGGCCACTTTCACAGTTTCAGACTTTTCAGCTGCTCATTGCAAAGTTTCCTGTATTTTGAAAATGTTCAGCTGAAAAGTATGGAATGTATGAAAGGCAGTGATTTAGATACACAGCCCTCTCTGTTTTTAATACTGTAAAACTACTCTACTGTATACGAAAAAATGAAATTTTATAGTTTCTTTAATAGTGTACTGTTGTATTCTCTGTCCCCTGCATTTCCTCAGCTCTTTTAAAACACCCGTCAACCTGATGGTCTGTCTTTGTTTTTTTTTCTGTTTTTATCTTTAAGCAGTCATTCATCAATGTCAAACAGACAAGCTTTTGATGGAACTCTTCTGTAGCTAGTTTATATGGATGTCAAGTGTAAAACATGCACCTTGGAACCGATGAGGAGGAAAATAAACCACACATCTCATTTATTTTTGATGGGTGAAAAGAAACAATTTAAAATGTTCTTATATGTTGGCCTTTTCTGGTTATATCACTTAAAATAATTCTTCTTAAATAGAAATGATATGATGTGTGAATTCTAGAATCCAGAACCATAGTCACTGCCTCAATTCAGTCAGTCTTTGTGGTCTGTACAGTATAAGCAGACGATCGCCAGCAGACACAACCACTGCCTTGCCTCTCTAAGGAGAAGGTGAACTGCAGGGAGGGTATAAAATGAAGCAAATGCAAGTTAAATTGTCCATGAAGAGTTCAATTTTTGAATTAAATTGAAAAAGCAGAAGCCTTTTGATAAACTCCATGTAAATGCCTGAAGAGGCTCTTTGTGAATTCCTATAATGTGGGGCCATTTCTGAACTCAATTTGAAAGGTAATTTCTGGAAAGCTACATTTAAGTAGGACTCTGAACAGTCTTCAGATTGAGTCCTAAATGACCATCTCAGTTAACTATAGAGGTGCAGAACTCATCCCCTCCTCCAACACACTACCTCACATTTCAATTTCAACTTTTACCGATATCACAATGTTTTCACAACTTTCTGTACAGTAGCTGCCTGTACATGGTCAATAATCAAAGGAGACTGTGAGAGCATTAGGAACGTTTTATTCTTTTAACTCGGTTTTTATCATGTTTTACCAGCTGAACCTGTCAATTGCCATCACTTGCACAAATACAATTTCATAGGATCTGTGCAGGAATTCCATTTGATTTCTATGTGGCAGAATCCTGATGGAATCGTATACAGTATAGAAGATATACAGTACCCTGTTTTTTCCAGTGGGATTTTTGGCTATTCAAAAACTCTCAGATTGGTAGTGACAAAACAGGGTAGTGTCAGTGTAGTGTAAAACAGTTAGTTTTAAAAAACAGCTCACCAAATGTTGTCTGTATGAAGAACGTACAATAGAATAAGGGTAACTTCTGAAAAGAGAATCTACAATGCAACAAATCAGCTGATTCTATTCTCAGATAACAAGTGATCTGTCCTCAGTGTACAGTACCTAGAAGTGCCTCCTCAAAATACACTGTGCTGTTCAATGCATGCTAAAATTGATTTTCAGACAAATATCTGTGGTTTTTCGTAGCAGAGAAACAATTTTCCTTGTTAATTGCATTTAATGGGATACTGAATCCAAATAATGCAGTAAGAGTCCAGGCTTTTAAAAAAGTCCATTAGGTTTGATTTTCTCACATAGGAGATGTCAGTTATCACTTTCTTTTACTAACACTATCAAAAATGATAAACTAGACTGCTACTGTATATCCAAGTTCACATGTTGTCTATTAAAAGAATTTTTTCCAGTAAATATGTTACAGGTACTTTTAAATATAAAAAGTACCAGTTTTATATTTAAAACCTGTAAAATTGTTATTTAACAGGTACTTTTATCTGAAAGAAACAACAGAGATAATGAACATGCTGAGTAGCTCAGTAGTACACTCACAGTAAGGACTGGAATGTGAAACAAGCCCTTTACCTAAACTGATAAGACTACTAAGCTATGAAATCTGCCATAATCACCTGCACTTTGACATTGAGCCAGGAGTGGCACTAGCTTCAGCAAAAAAAGAGCCAGAAAGAAGCAACACCAACAGGATTTTAGTTGTTGGTAATGAAGTGCGCATACTATACTTGTCAAATTACAAATATCCATTGGGTTAGCAACCTTTGAAGAGCCATCAACACAATAATGTATGTATTCACACATGTATATCCAATGCTTCCCCTTGGAAAGAGAAGATTAAAGACAGGGAAGGAAGTCAATGTCTCTGGGGTGAAAGGAGGTCAATATTTTCAAAAAGAGAGGAATTTAAAAAAGGACACCTATCTTGGGAGCAGAAATCTGGGGGAGGAACACAGAGCTGCTAGCAGGCACAGGCTCCCTATGTCTGAGTTGAGCCTGCTGAGACAGCCTTCGTCCTCTTGTCCTTGAGAGTTGCACTTACAGATCAGGAGTGAAGGGGAAGGCTGATCTACTTCCTTGTCCACAGAGCTGCAGCATCTTGAATTCGTTACAACCTGGGGTCTGCTAACAGCCGGAAGAATGTGCAGAAGCCACTTTTGATTTTCCAGGCACGTTTCTCACAGGCCCAGTAAATACAGCATCAGCTGTACCGACAGTTCTGATGAGAGCTTTTTCTGCACTTAGATTGTCACCTCTGCATTAGCATTTAATGTGCACTACACTCTCTCTTGCATTTATATGTACAGAAAGCCCTGCCATAATTATTTACCATTTATTCTGGATTTGAGGCATCACTGCTCTCCTCCCCACTGATAGCTGATGTGTGGTGAGCGATCTGGTGCACTATGGCTGCCGTCGCATCATACAGGTGGGGCTGCACATTGGTGGTGGTGGAGGGGAGTCCCCATTACCTGTAAAGCGCTTTTATTATAATAATAATAATAATAATAATAATAATAATAATAATTGCTTACACTTATATAGCGCTTTTCTGGACACTCCACTCAAAGCGCTTTACAGATAATGGGGACTCCCCTCCAACACCACCAATGTGCAGCATCCACCTGGATGATCAACAACAGTTGATAACACTGTGTATCATCTATCTTCATTCAGAATTCAGAAGAAACTGAGATGGTCAAGGTTTATTCCTGTCACATAGCCAGGACTCATACTGTAGGCAAATTTGAGATAATTCCTTTACAGTATTAAAACCCACCCAAGATTTCTAGGCAAGTGTGTGCTTTATTTCAAAATTATGGATTCCATGAATATTGCATTTTTAAGATTTGGAATCACAAAATATTGTCTGTTCACACAACTCTAGCTCCTAATTGGCAATAGTTAATCAGCAGCTCACTGCCTGGATCCTCATTCCAGCAAAAGGAGGATGAGGACACAGAATGTTGTCTTATGAAATGTACACTTGTCAGAGTCAGTCTTCATTTTACGCTCAGCACATTACAGGATAAAGACAGTTAATGGTGGAGGGGAGAGTTATGGTTCTGCCAGCTTCTCTCCAGCATCCAGTACAATTTCAAATGACATTGGTTTGGGAACCTATCAGTCAGAGTTTCATCACTACTTCTGGTTCTTTGAAGCTGCTCATTTGTGTACTCACAGTGTATAAAAAGAAAAATATGTACTGCTGCATATTTCTTTGGAGGTCTTTCCACTGTTTGCATTGCTTCTCTGTAACTGTGAGTGTTGTTACTACGGGGGAATTTAATTAATAAAACAATCTCCAAAGGAAAAATAAAAGAAGAAGCCTAAACTAATTCCCCCTGATCTTTGTGTATATGGCAGGATCTCCCGAGGAATCTAGTGTCTTTACTTTCAAATAAGTGATCACATTTTGTGAATTGAGAGTTGAAGATTGCCTGACATTCATGCAACTTTATTAGTGTGTAGGTTTACATTTTACAGTGTTTTCCTGAGAAATGTTTGTCAGATGGCAGACGTTTAGTATCTCGCTGTATAAAATAAGAATACAGTTTTTGTTTTTTATGCTTTTATTATAACAACCTGAAACTGGCAATACTCTGAATACTTCATCATGACCTAGTTTTTACTTACTTATTGAAAAGAGATGCCTTCTCAGTGTAGCGGACAGGTGTCTGTGTGTGAGTGCGTACAGGAGCAAACCAAGCCTTTGTTCCCGATTCTGATTCATTGGGGGTGATCGTATATCTTGGCTTTAAATGAACAGAATTTGCTGTCATGCTTTGCATACTTTAGCTGCATATTAAACACCCCCTGCTGTTCCTATACGCAGGAGCATGAGCCAGTCTAGGCTGGGAAGGTAATAGCACACCTTTCAGCCTCTGAGATGAAAGGGCTTGTTTTCCTAACTGTGAAAAAAGAATTTTGCCTTTAATTAGGCCCCTGTGTGGAAAAATGGTGTATGCGTTTCTTGGTGGAGTCTGAAAATGACTTGGACTTATCGCAGGTTATTTCACATTTTATGTGGCACCCTGAGCTTGTTTAAGTTTTAATTTGCTTACTGTTTTGCCTCAGAGAGTCTACATGGGATTTCCTTCTTCCGAGTTATTGTGTGGATTTTTTGTCCATTTAGCACAATTATTTTTCCTCAAAGCTAACTTTGAAAGCAAAACAAAAAACACATACTTCTAGAATTAACTGGGAACTCTGACTGAATGCCTGCGTATGGCTAAATCTAGCACAATTATCCAAATCTCCGATTTATGTCACATACAGAATATTTTGTGAGATCTATGTTTGCGGTAAACAACATTATCTCTCATTGTGCATAACACCAAACTACTGTACAAAATGTAAAACTGTGTTTTAGTCTGCTCTACTGAAGAACAAGGAGCTCCCAGTGGCTTCATCAATAAAAGGTGATGGTTTGGAGTTAAAGTGGAGTATCTTCTGTCCAGACATTAATGGTGAAGTCTGGGTCATGATGTCAGCTCTCTTTGACCAGAATTCTACAATGACTGTTTGACTTTTAGTTGGAAGGGTCTGAATGAGCCTGTGGCCATGAAGGTGGTGTCACCATCAAATGCATCAGTCCTTTCTAAACCATAAGCTGCTGTGGTGGTTGGGGAGCTCACACTGTGGCAAACAGTATTGTACATGGTCCTAACTTGTCTTGTGCTCTTAAAATAGTCAAACTGATAGGCCAAGTTAATTAACAATTGACAGTTCCATATTAGGAGATGGAGAAAGAGGAAAACAACTGGTGATTTATTTCTAAAGTGAAAGACGTCTACTGTATGAGAGTGTATTTATGAAGCAGTACTCCATGGGAAGGAAAAGAAAAAAAAAAAAAGATATGCACGGTTTATATGATAGGGAATTATTTAATCACAGCCAAGTTTCTAATGGCCAAAATTAACCACATAATACAAATTTTTGTTAATTTTTATTTGTTTAATTAGAAGAAATGGATATCTCTTATTAAAAATATCAATGCATATACTTCCACAATTAGCCACGTTCAATCCCACTACCACATTCATTTAAAGGTTTACTGCCTTTTCACAATGTAATCGCACCTTAAGAGAGCAAAACTTCAAGACAAGACTGTACGATCAACTGCCAGGGAAAGGGTCTGTTTTTCAATTATGAACTGAATGCTGTAAAAATGATAAAGAATTGCCTGAGAGAAACATGTTTATCAGTCAGGTTGATCTAAGCCAAGTTTAGTCTTTTTAGAATTGTGTACACCAGGATGACATTTTTCATTCTCCCAAAAGCCTTGTAATTGGATTTTAGTCAATACAAACTGCATATTGACCTGTAAAGCAACCTCAAACACCAGGAGATTTAATCTTGAGAAGGTATGCCTACATTCCAGCAATGAACATGCTTGTAAAATATTGTCTGTTTGACACAAAATGCCACAATCTTTAAGCAGCTATTTCTATATTTTTCTGCACAGCTTCTCCCATGCAGTGGTATTGTTGCTGCTGTCTCTGCTGTTAAGTAAACTATCTGGGCAGTTTGTTTACAATTTCCAAGAAATTAATTCCAGTGATGCGATGAAGTATCTGTGTTCAAATGTTACAAGAAAAAGGCACTTTTTAATTTTTGTTCTGAGCACTGTAAAACAAAATCATGTTATACTGGAGTGAATTTAAAACCAATGAACCTATTACAACAAAACAAATTCATAGAATAAAGTAATCTAATTTAGAGCAGTTAAATTTATTTTTATCCTGTGATGTACAGATGACAATACTACTCATACTTAGGCTTTTAATAAATGTAAAATGAGCAATGAGAATGCAGTGGGTGTGGAAAAAGCCTTTCCCCCAAGGGCCACCACAAAATTGTAAAATTGAGCCGTAAATTGAAGAAAAGCAAGGAGCCTTGTATTGAGGTTGCAAGTTCTGAAATGAGAGAGCCAATTGTCACTTAATATATTGGATTGAATGTGAATCCCTTTATTCAAGTAGAGAAGAGAATGAGGGATTATCTTTAAGGCTTTTGTTATTAAAGAACACAGAAGCGTAGAAATGTCATGTTTTCTAGGACTTTGGTTCTCAACACTAAAAATCATTGTCAATATATGCATACCTATGGGGCCAAAATGCAATATTCAATGTGTTTAGAAATCCCCAGGATACATTTAATCTCATAATAAATATATATAGAGTGAATAGACTTTTTCAAGTTGATTTAAAGATATAGGAAAATTGGGATCAGTCCAATGAGACAGTGATTGTAACACAAAGATGCAGAAATGAAACTAGCAGATCTGGTCTTTAATATTGCAGAACGGAGAATTTAGTATGCAGTTAACACCATACCCATGTCAATTTTGAAATGCAGATAATCAATCTAGCCTAATGCACTAAAGAGGTGAAAGGGGAAACAAAGAATAAAATAAATTAAAGAGAGGAACCACATTCATATTTATTATAGAATGCAGGCAAGAAGAGAATTATAAAAATACATACATATGTTGCTTTTAAAAAGATCCCTTATCAGAAACTCAAATAGAAGGATGATATTTCTTAAACTGCTTAGATCTGAATAATACAGAGTGGGATTAAACTCAGATAGAGCACTGGAAAAAAAAAAGCTTAGCAGATGAGACAGGGGCTGGAACACATTATCTGCATATAACAATGTAATAAAGCATATTACTGTGATATGCAAAGTTGTGTACACTTAATACAGGTAGAAATGGCACATGGACAGGCAGAATGAGGTACAATATCCAAAAAGAAGAAGGGAATATCAGGCATCCCTGACATCAACTGTTGCCTGTTATAGCCTTTGCTGTTGGGATGCTGCATTAAACCTTGGACATATTAATGAAGCCAAATTAAGCTGATCATGGAACACTACTTTGATTATATACATCTCAATCCAACATTGTAAACAGGTCCAAGAAAACAAAGAAAGACAGGGGAGCCTACTCGAGAACTCACAAATTCATTATCTCCTTGTTGAGTCTGTGGAACAAAGTACAACAAAACTGAAACAATTCTGTTATATTAAGAGAAAAAATTCTGATAGTTAGAACACAACCTTCAGAAAACAAAATGTTCAATACTAGGAGCATTTGAACAATGAACTAGATTGACAGAGGCTAGATGTATGTAGCAAGATTGAGAAAACATCCAAGGCACGTGCTGAAGACCTTTAGTCACCCAAGTACAATCCAAAAGAGTAAAATGAGAGAAAATGAACCTGTGAAAGTAGGAATAGACCTAACTGAGATGCATCAGAGATTGAGGCCAAAAATTGAGTATCTAAAAATCTATTTCTCAGACCTGGTCCAAGGATACTCTTGTGTATGCTGCTTTTTTTCCCCACCTGCTTAAATAATTTCCAGATGATTAATTTATGATGAACAGAAGATGACAAGTGGCAATGTCAACATATCAAACACAAAACAGGTGGCAGACATTCAGGTAAATGTGTGCATTTGGATTAAGAACTGGTTAATGGACAGAGAATGCAGATAATGGTTTAATGTTCATGCTAGAGTGATGTACATAGTACAACACGGATCAGTACTAGGACCCCTTATGTATATGAATAATCAAGATTCTGGTATAGTTAAGAAATTAGGCAAGATTTTAAATGATAATTATGAAATGATATAGAAACAGTAAATGCAATTCCAAGCTTTTGTTTAAATTCAAAAGCCAGTAAAATGTCTTTTAATTTAGAGAACTGCAGAATATTATATGCAGGAAGCAAACCTATTAATACACCATTAAAAATACAGAACTTAAAGAGCTACGGTACTTCTGAAAAGATATAGGAAACTGAAATCAATTAAGAACTTAAGTTGACCCAGCAGTTTCACAGTATGAGAGCTGGAAGCCACTGATATTTTCTGTTACATGAGCATTTCATAGATTTATTTCTATTAATACAACTGACACAGTGTCAAGGAGATGATAAACAAAATTAACCAAAATAAACTGTGATTCTTCTATACTACAAATAATTCACACAAAATATTTAATATTTTGCATATGAATCATGTTGGGAAATTGGGATTTATAAAAATACTCACTTGCAGAGCTCCTAATAAGTACTGTACATATAGTCACTTTTCCTAATGCCTATCTTTGTAATATGGAACTGTATGGAGAAACACGTCATTTTCTTTACCCAAATAAAAGTTCAGCTTTGTATGAATACAGGGCAGAGAACCAAGAACTGAAATGCAGAAATGGAGAAAAGACCCTACTCCTCCCTTTCATTTTCCCAATTCTTCAAATTACTTAGCATTCCCCAGTCAAAGGTCTAGATTATGGTTGAATGCTAATGCCCATCTCCAAGTGACTGATGCTACTGCCGCTTTTGTACTCTGCCTAAAGCATGGCACTCTGCTGCACAAAGGCTCACAGGACAGACAATTGACACAGTGGGCTGGTTTGATTAGATGCAGTAACTGTCCTACATTTCCCTGCAAAAAATTCAATTAATGTTCTGGTTCCTGGTGGCATTATATTTGAAAGTATTATTTTTAATGAATTGTTAATTTGTTAAAATTTACATTAAAGAAAAGTCTTGACTGATTGCGCTGTAATGAACTGTAATGAACCCTATTTTTTCAGTTTTTTTAAATATGATGCTTATCTGATTCAGGGTCATAGTGGACCAGAGCCTATCCAGGGAAACAATAAGTGCAAGGATGGACTGGATGGGACACTAGTTCATTGCAGGGCACACACAGATGTAAACACACTCACACAGGGATTAGTTTTTACACTTAGCCTATAAAAAGCACTTGGACTGTGGAAGGAAACTGGAGCACCTAGAAGAAACACACACATAAATTCAAACCCCCTTCACCTCGAGAATCCAGGGCTCCAGCTCTGCGAGGCAGCAACACTTATACACGCCCCCTTAAAATAAATTGGAAAAGAAAAAAAATGAAACAGTTGAGGTATTAAGTAATGTTATATACTTTAAAATTATAAGTTTAGAACAAAAGCTCTGTTTATTTCTTAATTACAACATGCATATTGAGTTAACTAATAATAGTATTATGATGGTAATTTGGGAGAATAAATAAGTAAAAGACTGAATCTCACTGCCAGCTAATTAACACAATGATGCTCTGAAATTGTTAATCATGCCTCCTCACTCGTCATCCAGGGTGAGAGAACACATTGCCTCTTCTTCATTACCACCCAAACCATGCACACATTACAGTTTTTATCAGTAAAAAAAAAGAACAATATAGAAAAGTACAGAGCATTACTGCAGAAACAGACAGATTGATTTTATAACCGATATTGGGGAGGAATTTATATAAATCATACAACCAGGTCTTCCTTTCACGTATCATTCCCATAACACCTGCCTCCCCATCTACATCCTTATAGCAGGTCCTTAGCTCAATCCTAGCAATAGTAAGGAGGATATAGATAGCTCCTACTCCTATACAACTGCGACTGGAGCATAGTCGACTCCCTCAGCTACTAGATTGCATATAATGCAGAATATATAAAATAATCAGTTACACAGGGTCAAATATGTTCAGAATACTGTAAATGCAGTTGACGTTTAATTGATATTGGAACCCAAGACCTACACTTGCATGAAATACACCATCATTCCAACAGCATTTTCCAGATTGACAATTAGTTTAGATAGGAGAACATACATTTCCAAGAGCTTTTTACAGTGGATGTGTGCGGTTTCCACGCTGAATGTGAGGCTTGGGGAACATGTTGACAAAACGGTAGGCTGGAGTGCTTCAGAGAACGAATGTATGACTGCACCGTTGAAACCCCAGCTGGGGATGGGGTTAGCATTCTCACACCAGACATTTGTGATGCTCAGCGCTGGATTGTGTCCCAAGCAAACCTGAGGACAAGTGAAAACGTGCTCCCTCCTCCACCTTTTTTCTCCCCCCAGACTGTTGGTGGCTTACAGTGCGGATTGCGCACCGCGTACCACGGGCAAATCCCTACGTCATGAATGTCTGTGAATGTTTTAATCCGCTTACTACTGAATATTTATATGGAATTTTACAACTAAAAGAAAATTTTAGTAGCTAAGCATAAAAAAAGAGGAGCATAACGTATCTGAAGGTCATAAACAACATTAATTTAGGAACATAAACATGTTACTGTATGTAGACTGTATTGTGTATGGCTGGTGTTGGTAGTTTAAAGAAAAAATACACACCAGTCTTCCATTTCTCCCTAAACATTATAAGCATTAAAGTTTTATCAGATAGTCCCCAAAATATATGATTGCTGTATGAATTTCAATTTAAAAAAATTATTTAAAATTATCGTTATCGTGAAAAAGCTACAGTCATGCCAATTGTAATCGTTCTTAGTTTTAAAGACATTTTAGAAAAGTGTCATCTATACAAAAAAGTTGCATTTAATACCACTCGATGATATATTTACAGAGATAAGCTCTCTATTAAAGCTCAGATCAAAGATCAAGCACAGATCAAACAGCAAGATCTCACACACTAGGACTGATCTGTGATCTGTGATGTGGTTGAGTGTGAATTGTGGTGCTCTAGCTGTGCTGAAAAAAAAAACGGTTGAACAACTCTTAAGCATACTGTAGTTTTTGTTAACACAAGTTTATCGGTGAAGAGACCACGGGCATTTTTCCTCCCCCCTACATTATCAGAGTATAATATGATTTATTATTAGCACAATGTATTACAGTGCTAAATTTTACATTATTGATTACTATTAGTTTATGCCAACAGCTAACTTAACGTGAGAAATACTGCTCAATACAGCTTCGTGCAAAAAACCTGTATATCACCATAGGAAGCATAACAGCATAGCCTCCCATTACCCAGACCACAAAACAAAGGAAAAAATGTTAAAAGAAATGTGAAAAGAAAACTGAGGAGGTAAAGAAAGGGTTTCAGAAACCAAACAAAGCTTTATATCTTTTGACCAAGTCAGGAGACATTAGAAGCTTGCCACACCCGGACTGTTACAGTAACACATAAGCAAGTTAAAGCAATTATGTTGAAAAGGTAGGCGTAATAATTGTTTTCCCCTTGAAGTTCTGATCTGCAAGGCAGTTTGGCCGCGATCAATGTGGATTCTGTCTGGCATTGCCAGATTGTGAAAAATATTTTATGAAACACACGTTTGAGATTTTAATCAAGATGGGGTTAAGGGAGTCTTCTCTATGACACTCTCCCTTATAAAATTAACATGAAACGAAACTAAAACTAATCTTTTTAGTTTTTGGCCAGACCACAGCTAGGACGCGCCGGACCCCACAGCCCCATCCGCACACACCCCCACAAACCCACCTGCACACAACCCTACTCCCGCACCTTACAGTCACACCACATAGCCGCCAGCGCACCTCACCGT